CATGTTAAGGTATAGGTTTTTATTGGGCTAGTTCAGTGTTTTGTTGGGTGTTTATGAATGTAGCTTTGTGATCCCAGTCACATTTGCTTTGTTCCTTTTTCTTTTTTTTTTTCAGCTCGCCTGTTTCACCAAGCGTTTATAAGCTTTAGGAAGTATATCATGGAATCCAGTTCTGTGAGTGCTGATTTGCATATTATTCTCAATGATATATGCTGTGGTGCAGGCAAGTATCTGGAGTGCTTGTAAAGTAAAATGTGCATTTCTTTTCTTGTTTTTGACCTGTATGCTTACCTGTGTACCTGTGGAGCTCCCTACTATGCTGTAAAAGAGGTTAAAAATCACTGTTTCCGCTTCAGAAACATTTATGCCCATCCTATGGAGTGTTCTGTCCTTTAGTTTTCTGAAGTGGAAACAAAAGAGGTAGAGGTCTTACAAAGAAGCAGCCTGTCATTTTATAGCATCCGTTCACTATTGAAATGATAATAGTACTCTGTTCAGTTTATTTCTCTCTTAAAAATTCAGTAGTCACTAGGGGGCACTTGGAGAGCTTTTTCCTGGCCAGGTGGCTTTAAGTACTTGGGAACACAGCTCTGTGACTGTGCTCTCTTTCTGTGTGGCACTAACAGAAATGAGTGGTGTTTGCTTGCTTACTGCATCGTGTGTTGTAATTAACCGCATTTGGCCAAGAGGTGATGCCAGCTGGTAACAGGAGAAACAGCCTTCTCCAGACTGAGCTTCAGAACTTTGGCATAGTTATGTGTGTTTTTAATGACAGTAATGTAACAGTTACAGTGGCTGTTAGTTTTGTCTTAAAATGTAAATGTGTAGATTTTAAACGTTTACCTTCTTAGGAAATTTAAACCGTCTTTTTATATTAGTTGTGCATAAAATCTTCCACGTGATTTCCTCACTTCCACTCCTTATTTACTTATATATGAGCATTGTTTATGTATGCCTCAAAACTCACATATATAGGAGTGTAAAGGGTTGTTTATTGTGGCAGTTTTGAAGTTTTTTAGTTGAGTTTTGCTTGTCCAGAGGTGATAATTGAAAATACTACAGTTTTTAAGTTCTTTAAATTCTTCACAATAATTTTGATTCATTGATTACTAATCTTCAATTTTAAATAAAAAAACCCAAACACTGCTCCCCCCACTCCCTGTGTGTGTATGTATTTGATAATAACAGTTTTTTAGAACCAGAAAGTTCTTTGAAATTCTATGGGAATTGGTCAGTTGGAGTGTGACCTGAAATGAGACCTTTAAGGCCACATGTCTACTCTGCAAACATTCAGAAGATTAAACCTGGGTGTCTCTTCTGAGTTGGTTTTCCTATTTTTGTCTTCTCACCTAGGGATTGTAGATTCACAATCCTGAACCAGCAAACCAAGTCTTAATAGCTTAGGGAAGCTATAGTCTGTTCTCTTTTTCTCTGTTTATTCACAAAAGGATTTTAGAAGCTTTTATTTTATTCCAAGGCAGCATGTGAATTTAGGAGGAAAAGGCTAAAATCTTCTCAGGACAGAAAGCTATTTTTCATCTAGCTTTTCCATAGCTTCTCATTCTGTTTAGAAGTTCTCTAGACATGTAGGCTAACCAGAGTGAATATACTGAAATGAGATTTTTTTTTTTCTTCATGCTATTTGGTTTGCTTAATGAGTCCATGTACTCATTTTAGTTTGTCTTTCTGCCATTGAGGTAGTTATTGAACTTTCTCGAGAGCCAGAAGTTGAGTGAATTACGTAGGATACACGCCTTCAAATAAGTTGGCAAACTTTCTTAAAAGGGTTTGTCTTCTAGGTCACGTGGATGATCTCTTTCCATTTTTCTTGAGGCATGCAAAGCAGATCTTCCCGATGCTGGACTGTATGGATGATCTGCGCAAGATCAGCGATTTAAGATTGCCGCCCAACTGGTCAGTGTGTTTCAGTGGTCGCAGTGTCTTCTTAGCATCATGGAATTTCATAGTCTCTGGACTTCAGCTTTACGATGTGTAATTGCACTATACTTTCAGTTCCAGTTCTCTGTTTTTACAATATTTCGTGTTGCGAAATCTTTTTGTTACAAGATATATTGCAATCAATTAAAAGGAAAATAAGATTTATATCGGCTATGAAAGTTGCTGAGTTGGTATTGCCTTTCCAGAAAGCTGTCTTCTGTCTGTCTCTGGGAGGTAGCACACCAGAACATTAAAATGTTAATGTTCTCAAGAAGAGAGACCACAATAATGAGAATTATTTTGAACACAATGTGTGAATTCCACTCTAAATCTTTGAAAGGATTGTGTGATTTAGAAGATGGGTGTATAAGACATAGTACCTTCTTTATATTGTCTCTATTTAAGAACTTGATCTTTTTGCTTTCAACACACATTAAAAAGTCTATTAGTAAGTAAATGTTTAAGCTAATTTGCAGTTTCCCCTAAATCAGTATCCAGAACACCAGATAAATGTTCAACAGATCTGCTTTTTTGTGTGTGTTTTAGGTATCCAGATGCCAGAGCTATTCAGAGAAAGATAATATTCCATGCCGGTCCTACAAACAGTGGAAAAACTTACCATGCTATCCAGAGATTTTTGTCAGCAAAATCTGGAATATACTGCGGTCCGCTAAAACTTCTGGCTCATGAGATCTTCCAAAAGAGTAATGATGCTGTCAGTATGTTATATTACTTACCTACATCCTTCACACAGGAACAATCTTATGAATGCATGTTTGTAAAGTATTGTAGTTGCTTAAGGGAGTCTATGAAGCAGTTGTGCCTTGGCTTTGCAGTAGTGTCAGCCCATGTGAATACCAGTTGTGCATTTCTGCTTTAGGCAAGCAGAATGGAACATCATTCCCCCAAATGGAACATCACTTTTTGGCAAAGCACATGCCACGCAATCATCCCTGTAACCTGCCTCTATTTCCCTGTAATTTTTCCCTCCCTGGGTTTAGCTAGATTCTACTGTTAGCATTTTCAGCATGGAAACTGTGGCTTCTTTTGCCCGTGACCTTTATTTTAGCTTGTACACAAGAAACTACCCTTGCTTAAGTCCTCTCAACTTTATGCTTCAATGTTTAAATCTATTTCATTCAATGATCAAAGAAAAAGTTCTGCAGCTTCAGATGTCTTGAGTTGAAGAGCCCTATATCAGGTCCCTAGAGGAAGCTTTTGTTAGTACTTTTTTTATTGGTTCCAGCATCTTTTTGAAGGCTCCTCACCAGTTGTGTTTCCAGCTGCACAGAACCACACCAGTTCTGAAGCATTACAATAACACATCACATCTTAGTGCAGCATAGTGTGTATGTACAGTGGTGTCTACCAAATGATCTCTTGATTTCTCCTTTTTTTGATAAGTCTATATTTAGAATTTGTAATTCCTATTAGTGTTTTATCAAAGCAACACATAAGAAAGATCAGCTTGTCCTAGGAGGTATCTGTAACGTGTACTGCGTAGTGATTGTGGATACCCAGTAGTGATGTTCCCTCTTAGTAATTACTGTGCTCTTTTCCCACGTGTTTAGTGTGTGTGAGGATTTTTCACTTGGCAGCTTATGGATCATACATAGCCCTTGAGGCTTGAATAGGGCTTCCTGCATGGATCTACAGGTGGCTGTAGGTATGGAAGGAGCAGCCACCTGCCTGGGATCCAGCGAGCGTAGAGCCACACCACCACAGAGGGTGGTGGCCCCTGCTGTCTCACAGCTAGTCCTCATGAACTCTTGCTGTGTGAGTATAAGGCAGCAGGTGAGACACCCAACAGGGCAATCACAAAACGAACTGGAGGAGGCTGGAGCTCGTAGGGCTCCTTCTCTGCTGGGCCTTGCTTTATTAGCCCCTTGTGCTACAGCTGTTCTGACAGTTCTTTTGTTCCAGGTGCGACAGCTCTGAAATGCTCGGGGGAAGATGTAATCTCCTGCAGGAGTAGGGGAGGGCATTTAATTACAGATACTACCTCTTCATTATACCCTTCAGTCTGATAGTACTTAAATACAGGGCACAAGTCTCAAAAGGCCAGAGTAGTTATCTCCTGGATAGCTTCCATTATATATTGTCTTAGAAACTGCTTTAATAAACTGATTTGCTCCCCTTCCCCCACCTTTGGAAAGGGGATTCTGTTATATTAAAGAAACTTAACATGAGTTTTCTGAATTCCTTTAGAATGTGCCATGTGACTTGGTGACAGGAGAAGAGCGTGTGTATGCCAATGAAGATGCCAGACAAGCTCCTCATATTGCTTGTACCATTGAAATGTGCAGCACTAATACACCTTGTATGTATACCTAATTGTTTAAGTCATATCTGTGGTATCTTTATGTCTATTATTGCTTGGACTCTGAAGTAGCTGAGCTATTCCTTTTCACTCTTATTTGAACAATTTCTGAACTACGTTAGAGCATTTAATAAAACCTGGATCGTCTCAGAATAGCGCAGCATTTGACCAAGAGGTGATGCTAGCTGGTAACAGGAGAAACAGCCTCCTCCAGGCTGAGCTTCAGAATTTTGGCATAGTTATGTGTGTTTTTAATGACAATTAGAGCATTTAATAAAAACTAGATCGTCTAGAATAGCTTTTTGGTGGTAGAGGATTAATTTCCTTTGAGCAACCATTTTTAGAAAGCCTTTGGGTTCCTTCCTGTGGTTAGAGCATTTAATAAAACCTGGATCGTCTCAGAATAGCTTTTTGGTGGTAAAGGATTAACTTCCTTTGAGCAACCTTTTTTAGAAAGCCTTTGGGTTCCTTCCTGTGTTGTGTTGCTCTTCTGGATTCTGTTCCTTGGTGCATCATATTTTTCTTTTTTGTTTTAAGATGAAGTTGCTGTGATTGATGAAATTCAGATGATCAGAGATCCTGCCAGAGGATGCTTATATATGAGCATTGTTTATGTATGCCTCAAAACTCACATATATAGGAGTGTAAAGGGTTGTTTATTGTGGCAGTTTTGAAGTTTTTTAGTTGAGTTTTGCTTGTCCAGAGGTGATAATTGAAAATACTACAGTTTTTAAGTTCTTTAAATTCTTCACAATAATTTTGATTCATTGATTACTAGTCTTCAATTTTAAATAAAAAAAACCAAACACTGCTCCCCCCACTCCCCATGTGTGTATGTATTTGATAATAACAGTTTTTTAGACCCAGAAAGTTCTTTGAAATTCTATGGGAATTGGTCAATTGGAGTGTGACCGGAAATGAGACCTTTAAGGACACATGTCTACTCTGCAAACATTGAAAAGATTAAACCTGAGTGTCTCTTCTGAGTTGGTTTTTCTATTTCTGTTTTCTCACCTAGGGATTGTAGATTCACAATCCTGAACCAGCAAACCAAGTCTTAATAGCTTAGGGAAGCTATAGTCTGTTCTCTTTTTCTCTGTTTATTCACAAAAGGATTTTAGAAGCTTTTATTTTATTCCAAGGCAGCATGTGAATTTAGGAGGAAAAGGATAAAATCTTCTTAGGACAGAAAAGCTATTTTTCATCTAGCTTTTCCATAGCTTTTCGTTCTGTTTAGAAGTTCTCTAGACATATAGGCTAGTCAGAGTGAATATACTGAAATGAGTTTTTTTTTTTTCTTCATGCTATTTGGTTTGCTTAATGAGTCCATGTACTCATTTTAGTTTGTCTTTCTGCCATTGAGGTAGTTATTGAACTTTCTCGAGAGCCAGAAGTTGAGTGAATTACGTAGGATACACGCCTTCAAACAAGCTGGCAAACTTTCTTAAAAGGGTTTGTCTTCTCTTCTAGGTCACGTGGATGATCTCTTTCCATTTTTCTTGAGGCATGCAAAGCAGATCTTCCCGATGCTGGACTGTATGGATGATCTGCGCAAGATCAGCGATTTAAGATTGCCGCCCAACTGGTCAGTGTGTTTCAGTGGTCGCAGTGTCTTCTTAGCATCATAGAATTTCATAGTCTCTGGACTTCAGCTTTATGATGTGTAATTGCACTATACTTTCAGTTCCAGTTCTCTGTTTTTACAATATTTCGTGTTGCGAAATCTTTTTGTTACAAGATATATTGCAATCAATTAAAAGGAAAATAAGATGATATCAGCTATGAAAGTTGCTGAGTTGGTATTGCCTTTCCAGAAAGCTGTCTTCTGGCTGTCTCTGGGAGGTAGCACACCAGGACATTAAAATGTTAATCTTCTCAAGAAGAGAGACCACAATAATGAGAGTTATTTTGAACACAATGTGTGAATTCAACTCTAAATCTTTGAAAGCATTGTGTGATTTAGAAGATGAGTGTTTCAGACATAGTACCTTCTTTATATTGTCTCTATTTAAGAACTTGATCTTTTTGCTTTCAACACACATAAAAAAGTCTATTAGTAAGTAAATGTTTAAGCTAATTTGCAGTTTCCCCTGAATCAGTATCCAGAACACCAGATAAATGTTCAACAGATCTGCTTTTTTGTGTGTGTTTTAGGTATCCAGATGCCAGAGCTATTCAGAGAAAGATAATATTCCATGCTGGTCCTACAAACAGTGGAAAAACTTACCATGCTATCCAGAGATTTTTGTCAGCAAAATCTGGAATATACTGCGGTCCGCTAAAACTTCTGGCTCATGAGATCTTCCAAAAGAGTAATGATGCTGTCAGTATGTTATATTACTTACCTACATCCTTCACACAGGAACAATCTTATGAATGCATGTTTGTAAAGTATTGTAGTTGCTTAAGGGAGTCTATGAAGCAGTTGTGCCTTGGCTTTGCAGTAGTGTCAGCCCATGTGAATACCAGTTGTGCATTTCTGCTTTAGGCAAGCAGAATGGAACATCATTCCCCCAAATGGAACATCACTTTTTGGCAAAGCACATGCCACGCAATCATCCCTGTAACCTGCCTCTATTTCCCTGTAATTTTTCCCTCCCTGGGTTTAGCTAGATTCTACTGTTAGCATTTTCAGCATGGAAACTGTGGCTTCTTTTGCCCGTGACCTTTATTTTAGCTTGTACACAAGAAACTACCCTTGCTTAAGTCCTCTCAACTTTATGCTTCAATGTTTAAATCTATTTCATTCAATGATCAAAGAAAAAGTTCTGCAGCTTCAGATGTCTTGAGTTGAAGAGCCCTATATCAGGTCCCTAGAGGAAGCTTTTGTTAGTACTTTTTTTATTGGTTCCAGCATCTTTTTGAAGGCTCCTCACCAGTTGTGTTTCCAGCTGCACAGAACCACACCAGTTCTGAAGCATTACAATAACACATCACATCTTAGTGCAGCATAGTGTGTATGTACAGTGGTGTTTATCAAATGATCTCTTGATTTCTCCTTTTTTTGATAAGTCTATATTTAGAATTTGTAATTCCTATTAGTGTTTTATCAAAGCAACACATAAGAAAGATCAGCTTGTCCTAGGAGGTATCTGTAACGTGTACTGCGTAGTGATTGTGGATACCCAGTAGTGATGTTCCCTCTTAGTAATTACTGTGCTCTTTTCCCACGTGTTTAGTGTGTGTGAGGATTTTTCACTTGGCAGCTTATGGATCATACATAGCCCTTGAGGCTTGAATAGGGCTTCCTGCATGGATCTACAGGTGGCTGTAGGTATGGAAGGAGCAGCCACCTGCCTGGGATCCAGCGAGCGTAGAGCCACACCACCACAGAGGGTGGTGGCCCCTGCTGTCTCACAGCTAGTCCTCATGAACTCTTGCTGTGTGAGTATAAGGCAGCAGGTGAGACACCCAACAGGGCAATCACAAAACGAACTGGAGGAGGCTGGAGCTCGTAGGGCTCCTTCTCTGCTGGGCCTTGCTTTATTAGCCCCTTGTGCTACAGCTGTTCTGGCAGTTCTTTTGTTCCAGGTGCGACAGCTCTGAAATGCTCGGGGGAAGATGTAATCTCCTGCAGGAGTAGGGGAGGGCATTTAATTACAGATACTACCTCTTCATTATACCCTTCAGTCTGATAGTACTTAAATACAGGGCACAAGTCTCAAAAGGCCAGAGTAGTTATCTCCTGGATAGCTTCCATTATATATTGTCTTAGAAACTGCTTTAATAAACTGATTTGCTCCCCTTCCCCCACCTTTGGAAAGGGGATTCTGTTATATTAAAGAAACTTAACATGAGTTTTCTGAATTCCTTTAGAATGTGCCATGTGACTTGGTGACAGGAGAAGAGCGTGTGTATGCCAATGAAGATGCCAGACAAGCTCCTCATATTGCTTGTACCATTGAAATGTGCAGCACTAATACGCCTTGTATGTATACATAATTGTTTCAGTCATATCTGTGGTATCTTTATGTCTATTATTGCTTGGACTCTGAAGTAGCTGAGCTATTCCTTTTCACTCTTATTTGAACAATTTCTGAACTACATTAGAGCATTTAATAAAAACTAGATCGTCTAGAATAGCTTTTTGGTGGTAGAGGATTAATTTCCTTTGAGCAACCATTTTTAGAAAGCCTTTGGGTTCCTTCCTGTGTTGTGTTGCTCTTCTGGATTCTGTTCCTTGGTGCATCATATTTTTCTTTTTTGTTTTAAGATGAAGTTGCTGTGATTGATGAAATACAGATGATCAGAGATCCTGCCAGAGGATGGGCTTGGACAAGAGCCCTTCTAGGTAAGCCTGTTTGTGTTGGTCATTAATTGGTTTGATGTGACTATAAAGAGCACATTAAATTCAAGCTCAGCAGTCAGTATATTCATAAGTGGTTACAATACGTGATGCAAAGGAAAAGTGAATATTGTTTCTTCATATGATCTGAACTGCTCTGATTATTATACTCGTGGATTTCCAGGCATCACTTGCTGATATGAGATCAGGAGCAGTACTAAGGAAGTAGTGTACTATGGGAGAGGATTTAGGTGCTGATCTGGGATGTTGAAGGAGGTGAAATACAGTCCTCATTGATGAGTTTAGCAAGCAGAATGTAATTTTTGGGCAACTTAAAAGTCAGCTAAGGCTACTGTTGTCTATAAATATGTAACATTGCATTTTGTTGGATCTTGTTCAGGACTCTGTGCGGAAGAAATCCACATTTGTGGAGAAGCTGCTGCTATTGACTTGGTGACAGAGCTCATGTACACCACAGGGGAGGAAGTTGAAGTAAGCTTTTTATTTCTATAAAGTTACAGACAGAGCATCATGTTCTTGCTGGAAAACAAGCTAAAGTTTAGGTTCTTTTGAGGGTATCACTGAGGAGGAGGGAGGAAGGGAGTTAAAAGAGCTAAGATCTTCAGAAGAAAGTGATTGAAAGATCTCTGAAACCCAACTTTACTGTCATAAATTCTTTTTTTTCTTTTTTTTTTTCCTTGGGAAGATTCCTTTGTGAGAAGTATTTAAAAACATAAAATTTGGGCATAAGAAAGTCAAGCCTGCATGATTTCCTGGTGAATTAGCTGTAGCTTTCTATATCTGTGCATGGTGGGGTCTGTAATTCTGAAAGGGGACCAGTTGCAGCATTTGTATGACTCAGTGAAGACAGACTCTCATTTCTTGATAGAGTTGCTGCATAGGCTGTATGCTTCTTTTCTTGAATCTAGTTTACATGTGAAAATACATAGTTCTTCTGTTTCTTGGAAAGGCCATATAGTTCTCAGCTTGGGAAGTGCTGTAAGTATGCAAGTGCATAAGGTGTATGTCACCTTCCCCTCAGGAGTTATTCCTTCAGGACTCTGAGAGGTCCCTCAGCATTACAATCCATTGTCATAATAACCATGCTGGCCAATATTCCACAGGAATTTTTCATTTAAAACCACTGTTTTTGACATCTCCTTTGATTCTAGGTCCGAAACTACAAGAGACTCACTCCTCTTACTGTGCTGGATTATGCCTTAGAGTCTTTAGATAACCTTCAGCCGGGGGACTGCATTGTCTGTTTCAGCAAGAATGACATTTATTCGGTCAGTCGACAGGTTGAAGCCAGAGGATTAGAATGTGCTGTCATATATGGCAGTCTGCCACCAGGTAAAGCACTCTTCCTTTTATTTTTAAGAGAAAATTCTGCTTCTTGCTGCTTTCTTAGGAAAACCTTTATAAAATTAAGCAGTACAAGTTTTCTTAGTTTTGCATCTCTATGGTTAAAGTAATCAACTTTCACTGACTGGTGTTTTAATCTTGGGATCAGACCTTTATTACCTACTTAATATTAATCTTCAGATACATGTAATTAAATGAGGTCTATGCACAGCTTTGGGAATGATTTAAATCCTTCCTATGTTTTAATCTTGGGATCAAACCTTTATTACCTACTTAATATTGATCTTCAGATAGATGTAATTAAATGAGGTCTATCCACAGCTTTGGGAATGATTTAAATCCTTCCTGACCCCTTCACCCAACAACAGCCAAATACCTTTCTTTTTTTTTTTTTTTTTATCAGCCTACTTTAAGGGAATCGGGCTTAGTGATATATTGTGTTTGTTTTCTAAGAAGAGTTTTCTATGTGAAGTGTTTTGTCACTCTGTTTTAGGAACAAAGCTTGAACAGGCAAAGAAGTTCAATGATCCTGATGATCCGTGCAAAATTTTAGTTGCTACAGATGCAATTGGAATGGGACTCAATTTGTAAGTACTCGGAGCAAGTTATGGTATGGTGTCTGGGTTTTTGTTGTTTGTTTTTTTCCCCAGGTGTGATGCCTGCATTAATTTCCTCACTTGTTTCTTCCCAGTTTGACTAATTTGGCTAGATATCTGCTATGTCTAGATAACACAGTACCTATGTTTTAATTCTAAAGTAATGATCGATTTGATGGAGTAGAACTAAACTTTAATTTTAAAACTGATTCTAAGAGTATTAGTGTTTTATCAAAGCAACACATAAGAAAGATCAGCTTGTCCTAGGAGGTATCTGTAACGTGTACTGCGTAGTGATTGTGGATACCCAGTAGTGATGTTCCCTCTTAGTAATTACTGTGCTCTTTTCCCACGTGTTTAGTGTGTGTGAGGATTTTTCACTTGGCAGCTTATGGATCATACATAGCCCTTGAGGCTTGAATAGGGCTTCCTGCATGGATCTACAGGTGGCTGTAGGTATGGAAGGAGCAGCCACCTGCCTGGGATCCAGCGAGCGTAGAGCCACACCACCACAGAGGGTGGTGGCCCCTGCTGTCTCACAGCTAGTCCTCATGAACTCTTGCTGTGTGAGTATAAGGCAGCAGGTGAGACACCCAACAGGGCAATCACAAAACGAACTGGAGGAGGCTGGAGCTCGTAGGGCTCCTTCTCTGCTGGGCCTTGCTTTATTAGCCCCTTGTGCTACAGCTGTTCTGGCAGTTCTTTTGTTCCAGGTGCGACAGCTCTGAAATGCTCGGGGGAAGATGTAATCTCCTGCAGGAGTAGGGGAGGGCATTTAATTACAGATACTACCTCTTCATTATACCCTTCAGTCTGATAGTACTTAAATACAGGGCACAAGTCTCAAAAGGCCAGAGTAGTTATCTCCTGGATAGCTTCCATTATATATTGTCTTAGAAACTGCTTTAATAAACTGATTTGCTCCCCTTCCCCCACCTTTGGAAAGGGGATTCTGTTATATTAAAGAAACTTAACATGAGTTTTCTGAATTCCTTTAGAATGTGCCATGTGACTTGGTGACAGGAGAAGAGCGTGTGTATGCCAATGAAGATGCCAGACAAGCTCCTCATATTGCTTGTACCATTGAAATGTGCAGCACTAATACGCCTTGTATGTATACATAATTGTTTCAGTCATATCTGTGGTATCTTTATGTCTATTATTGCTTGGACTCTGAAGTAGCTGAGCTATTCCTTTTCACTCTTATTTGAACAATTTCTGAACTACATTAGAGCATTTAATAAAAACTAGATCGTCTAGAATAGCTTTTTGGTGGTAGAGGATTAATTTCCTTTGAGCAACCATTTTTAGAAAGCCTTTGGGTTCCTTCCTGTGTTGTGTTGCTCTTCTGGATTCTGTTCCTTGGTGCATCATATTTTTCTTTTTTGTTTTAAGATGAAGTTGCTGTGATTGATGAAATTCAGATGATCAGAGATCCTGCCAGAGGATGGGCTTGGACAAGAGCCCTTCTAGGTAAGCCTGTTTGTGTTGGTCATTAATTGGTTTGATGTGACTATAAAGAGCACATTAAATTCAAGCTCAGCAGTCAGTATATTCATAAGTGGTTACAATACGTGATGCAAAAGAAAAGTGAATATTGTTTCTTCATATGATCTGAACTGCTCTGATTATTATACTCGTGGATTTCCAGGCATCACTTGCTGATATGAGATCAGGAGCAGTACTAAGGAAGTAGTGTACTATGGGAGAGGATTTAGGTGCTGATCTGGGATGTTGAAGGAGGTGAAATACAGTCCTCATTGATGAGTTTAGCAAGCAGAATGTAATTTTTGGGCAACTTAAAAGTCAGCTAAGGCTACTGTTGTCTATAAATATGTAACATTGCATTTTGTTGGATCTTGTTCAGGACTCTGTGCGGAAGAAATCCACATTTGTGGAGAAGCTGCTGCTATTGACTTGGTGACAGAGCTCATGTACACCACAGGGGAGGAAGTTGAAGTAAGCTTTTTATTTCTATAAAGTTACAGACAGAGCATCATGTTCTTGCTGGAAAACAAGCTAAAGTTTAGGTTCTTTTGAGGGTATCACTGAGGAGGAGGGAGGAAGGGAGTTAAAAGAGCTAAGATCTTCAGAAGAAAGTGATTGAAAGATCTCTGAAACCCAACTTTACTGTCATAAATTCTTTTTTTTCTTTTTTTTTTTCCTTGGGAAGATTCCTTTGTGAGAAGTATTTAAAAACATAAAATTTGGGCATAAGAAAGTCAAGCCTGCATGATTTCCTGGTGAATTAGCTGTAGCTTTCTATATCTGTGCATGGTGGGGTCTGTAATTCTGAAAGGGGACCAGTTGCAGCATTTGTATGACTCAGTGAAGACAGACTCTCATTTCTTGATAGAGTTGCTGCATAGGCTGTATGCTTCTTTTCTTGAATCTAGTTTACATGTGAAAATACATAGTTCTTCTGTTTCTTGGAAAGGCCATATAGTTCTCAGCTTGGGAAGTGCTGTAAGTATGCAAGTGCATAAGGTGTATGTCACCTTCCCCTCAGGAGTTATTCCTTCAGGACTCTGAGAGGTCCCTCAGCATTACAATCCATTGTCATAATAACCATGCTGGCCAATATTCCACAGGAATTTTTCATTTAAAACCACTGTTTTTGACATCTCCTTTGATTCTAGGTCCGAAACTACAAGAGACTCACTCCTCTTACTGTGCTGGATT